TGGCACACACAAAACTTCGAAAGACGAAAAAATTAGAAGTCTTAATTTCGTAGTTTACAGCAGAACCGACCACGTAAAATGAATCATTAGCCAGCTTCAGGCAGTTAGACATTGCTAGCCAGGGGTTAGTGGCTCCGCCCATGGTGTATATGTTTAATTAATTAGTGTGTACAGATGTGGAAACAAGTTAATAGTATATATAAATCCATGTATGATTTGAGGTTTCCACAGTGGTGAGTATGAAGATTTCTGTTTTCTGGGTTGTTGCGCTGTGTAGTCTGGTAGATTTCCACCAATGTTTCAGAGGTCACACTGCCTCCGTCATTATCCTGATGACGGAGGCAGTATGACCTCTGAAACTTCGGTGGAAACCTACCAGACTAAACGGAGTAACAACCCAGAAGACAGCAATCTTCATACATAAATCCCATAAACTTTATTAAATTTTAGATATAACTACAATTTTGTCACTTTTTAGAATATTGGACTCCGAATTTAATATCTTAACGTTTCAGGTGATCTCCCGATGTAAACCTCTAAATATGATTTTTCAGAAATCGAGGTTTAATGTTTAATTCAGAAGTGCATTAAGATTATGGGGTGCAGCATTAGAAAATATTTTCACAATTCGAGAAAATAATTAATTTCGTAGGTGATCGTAAATATTTTCACATTCACATTCACAGTCATCGCAGGCATAGTTCGGAGGTTCCACCTATTAAAATAACTAAACACATTACTACACAATGAAATATCCACACAGAACTACAAGGTTAGCATTCAAGAACTGGGGTTATTTACCTTGCTCCTGTTTCTTGGTGCAAAATCCTCTTTCGAAGTCTTCCGTCTTTTGTCCTTAAGAATCATACGAGCTGCTGCAAACGCCATGTTGGTTATTCTTTTATTGCTTGATGATTTTAAGCTCACACAATTCTTATATAAGTCACTCTCCTGAAAGATAGTCTTTGTTGACAATGAAGGCCTACGTCTTGAATGGATTTGCTTTGAATAGTATCACTAAAACAAAGTTATTACGACACTTATATTATTGCACTGGGGAATCCCATAACTTTTATTGCTTCACGTAGTACAGCACTTATGGCTATATTATATCTCACAGCGTTATTGCTTTATAACGAACACGAATAAGATTTCAAGTATTATCTACGAATAGTTAACATAAATGAAAAGTTTTTGAAAATAATTTCCAGGAATAAGAGTTCATCACTTTTGCGAACATGTTATCACACACTGTTCATGTATCCATTTAAAATAAAGACCAGAATTGGAAATACGAATACGTTTTAAGAAAAGCACTTACTTCACTTGTTCAGCTCAGACGCTGATCACTTCTGCATTATTGTCGGCGAGTATTACAATGAGTGTATCATTACAGTATTATGATAAGCGGTAAGTTGATTTGTTTGCGTTAAAATCAACTGAGCCATGACTGACAGTTCCTGGCTGTTATAACCCTCAACTGTTCTTTAATACAACTCGAAGGAAGTTGAGACCCTGTGAGAAGACGCGACAGGCAATTAATTGGATGTTCTCTCCAGCTCATTAACAACGCCTCTAGACGACCACTGGACTGCAACATTTAACGTATACCACTGTACACCTCCACATTCCACATCACTTGTTTTTACAATGCAGAACAACCCTCCTCACAACACAGAAAAATTTAGGTAGAGAAATCAGAATTCATTCACTTGGCTGAATTCCATGTAATGGAGAGTATGATCTTATATGGTAATTTATCTGTAACGAAACGTAGCGGATGGCCGAGAATTACCTACTTTAAATGTTTTTTCTTTAAACGTGTGTCTCTATATGAATGCAGTCCTCATTAACATAAACTCAAATATGGAGAATTTCAAGACACTGACATTTATACTTCTGTTTTATGCAACACATTAAAAAAGAACCTGTAACTTTATAGGAGACTGCATTCCATTTTATGTTTGTGTTACAGATCTAAATATTTGGTTGACAGACCAACAATATTTTCAATGAATGTGGAGCTGCTTTGTGGTAATTTATCATTGTTATTTTTAGGAAAATATATTACCACCTATACAAAATGTTTTACGAAACACGAATTTAGGATTGCAAGAGCAGAAAAAAGCCGGACTTCTGAAAATACCTACTTTATGGTACAGTTTCTGGAAATAAGTAAACGTATCCTAATTATGTATTTTAATTTAAGCATTAAAGATAGAGACGCCAATAAGTAAACGTATTAGAATCAATTAGGCCAATAGGTCTAAATCTGAGTCTAGTTAACTATAGGAAATCAAATAAATATGACTATTTATATCACGAGAAATTTCAACATGAAATATAAGTAAACCCCGACTATGTACGAAACTGGTATCTTACAATGGTTATTTAGAAAGAGTGCCACCTTTTTTTGTACTAATGTAATTCGTAATCATTCAGTTTACTCTTAATATTTCGAAGAACTTGTAATGGTTTACTCAACTGATTTTCCTTTCTTCTGTTAATGCTCCTAAATTGTAGTTATAGGATAATTAATTAGCATTTACAAGGTGATCGAAATTTGCTACCAGTAACAGTCTACGAGTCCAAGCTGACTGATGGAATGCAGCGTCATTTCGACTAGTTAAAAAGTAATTTATGACGAACTTCATATTCAATAAATCAAAATACAACCAAGCACAATATAATAAGACGTACAGTAACGACGCAGGATATAACCAAATATACAAATGAGCTGCTAACTTTGGGAGTTTGAGTCATTGACTTATATTTTATGCTATTCTGTTTGTTTCAACCATTTTCTAGAAAACACTTGCATAAATACCGATTTAGTATATATCATAAGCTAATATTATAATATGCTATATTTATCTCGAGAAGAAGGTTATAATATTTTCAGAATTTATTATACTTACTAAGAACGTCTACAGTACATACCTCGACAACGTAATATTAAGAAATCACACTGGACAAAAATAGTATACATTTTTTTGTTCAAGAGGGAAGATGAAAACGAAAACCCCACCTGGATTAACTCTCTGAAGCTGACTGTGTGAAAGCCACGATACAAAGAACTTTCAACAGCCAGACTTAGGCTGGAAACGATACTGTCTGGCCCTCTTATAAATGAAAAGCGCATCCAGTAACACGGCTTAGCAAAGACCCAAACCGCGTGTGGTCAGCGAATTGAACAGATGAAACCACAGCGAAATATTTAGAATACGAATTTCTACACAAGAACAACATACAAAATTTCCTCTGTAATGAAAAGGAAATTATAAAGATTAATTTCAAGAGAGTTTTATTAGCAGACTATGCGACGCAAACGAAAGATAATTCCCCATTTACCGAGCATGTGGTTTCGTGGTAACAGTCTAGATTTTTATTCTGTAGCACTTTTCTAACCTCCTCCATATTACTACACATCTTTTAGTTTGGCTTTCGAGATCGCCTCCTAAATTATCACAAAATTCATAATTATTTCAAATGCATCGTTAAATGGACAAAGTAGTCGACCTACGGTTTTAATCACTCAATGCGAACCACAACTTATTACCCTATTTTTCTACGATGGGTGTTTACAGTAAACTTCCATCTATTTCCAGGTGTCACAAATGTTCAATTCTGTTGAGGTTATGGACAAAACTTCGGAGTAATTTATCTCAATCTTGCTACACGTTCTGCACACTTTTACCGTTCCTGATTTACCAATAACAGTTATATTCAAGGATAATTTCGTAACTCTAAATTGATAAATTGTAAAGATATCGAAACTCTGCTTAACTTTGAAAATTTTATTCCGTATGTGTTTTAGTTAATTTGTCTTTATTAATATAATTTTTAAATATAGATACAGTTACTGAAATAGATTTACTTTATTTGGAACACGTTTGTTAACTGTCCTTTAAACCTAGTCTAGCGGTAATCGAAAAGCATTTTCTCTTCATGCAAACTTGTAATAAATCTTACAAAATTTGTACATTTACGACACTTCAAGGCCCAGTATGTAACACAGTCTTTAACAATAAATGACTTTACATTTGTGTTTACGGTTTCCGTACAATTATCAGAATAAATATCGATTATTTCTTCAAACAGCATTAACCAGTTTGGATAAAAATGTATCACGAAAGCACTGTCACGCTATGTTTGTATTCACGGCGAACATGAAGTCAGTTTACCGCCATACATTTTTTCTGCAAGCGATTATAGCGCATGTAGGACCACGCCACAATCCACCAGACCGATATTATTTGTGCTACGATTAGACCCATGGGAAAGACTGTTTGTTGCCTTGCTGGCGTTGATGTAACAGAAGTAATCCACTTCATGTTGTGTTGTTACAGAGTTGACGTTTCGGTTTGCGCCCTACAATACTTGAGAGTGGATTTCAATTCAGTCGAAAGCAACAAAAGAAAGCAATACTCTTGGACCCCTAGACGTGTCAGAGTCTGTCAGGATTTCAACAGACTTGCTTCTTACTATTTCCTATGTTATAAAACGAAACATTATGAACAGCAAAGGCCATTTTAGCGGCGAATAAAATAGGGCGATCATCACGTAATATTGTGGATTGGAAAATACTATCGTTCGTCTAAGGCAAATTAAATTTTAGAAGACTGTGTTAGTACTGAAAAGATAACACGATAAAGCCAGAGTAGCGAGAAATGCGGAAGTACTTGAGATTCGCTGTTACGACGTCGGTAAAAACGTCGACATTGTTTTTCTGGGTAGTAACGCGGAGTGAATTTGTAAATACATACCAATGTTTCGGAGGAACATAGGGTAAGGTTGCTCAAGTCGTACCAGTGCTTAAGTCGTACCACTTGAATTTTGAACGAACTACGACGACAACAGCACATACAACGGCAACCGAATATACATCTGAGTCAACCAAGTTGCTTTACGTATTATTGTCTGCCATAAACCAGCCTCGTTATAAATCCTGTCATCAAGTAAGTTTATTTCAATTTTCTTATAATTTTCTGCATATGTTTGGTAGTTAATCTTGCAAGTAAATTATTGATAAAATTAT